AAGGACTATTACAGTCGTGGATTTTTTAAAGAATATTTTTTCAAGGACTATTACAGGCGTGGATTTTTTAAAGAATATTTTTTCAAGGACTATTACAGGCGTGGATTTTTTAAAGAATATTTTTTCAAGGACTATTACAGGCGTGGATTTATTAAAGAATATTTTTTCAAGGACTATTACAGGCGTGGATTTATTAAAGAATATTTTTTCAAGGACTATTACAGGCGTGGATTTATTAAAGAATATTTTTTCAAGGACTATTACAGGCGTGGATTTTTTAAAGAATATTTTTTCAAGGACTATTACAGGCGTGGATTTTTTAAAGAATATTTTTTCAAGGACTTATACAGGCGTGGATTCTTTAAAGAATATTTTTTCAAGGACTTATACAGGCGTGGATTCTTTAAAGAATATTTTTTCAAGGACTTATACAGGCGTGGATTCTTTAAAGAATATTTTTTCAAGGACTTATACAGGCGTGGATTCTTTAAAGAATATTTTTTCAAGGACGTATACAGGCGTGGATTCTTTAAAGAATATTTTTTCAAGGACTTATACAGGCGTGGATTCTTTAAAGAATATTTTTTCAAGGACTTATACAGGCGTGGATTCTTTAAATAATATTTTTTCAAGGACTTATACAGGCGTGGATTCTTTAAAGAATATTTTTTCAAGGACTTATACAGGCGTGGATTCTTTAAAGAATATTTTTTCAAGGACTTATACAGGCGTGGATTCTTTAAAGAATATTTTTTCAAGGACTTATACAGGCGTGGATTCTTTAAAGAATATTTTTTCAAGGACTTATACAGGCGTGGATTCTTTAAAGAATATTTTTTCAAGGACGTATACAGGCGTGGATTCTTTAAAGAATATTTTTTCAAGGACTTATACAGGCGTGGATTCCTTAAAGAATATTTTTTCAAGGACTTATACAGGCGTGGATTCTTTAAAGAATATTTTTTCAAGGACTTATACAGGCGTGGATTCTTTAAAGAATATTTTTTCAAGGACTTATACAGGCGTGGATTCTTTAAAGAATATTTTTTCAAGGACTTATACAGGCGTGGATTCTTTAAAGAATATTTTTTCAAGGACTTATACAGGCGTGGATTCTTTAAAGAATATTTTTTCAAGGACTTATACAGGCGTGAATTCTTTAAAGAATATTTTTTCAAGGTTGTCTTTGAAAATAATGTATTTCATTTAATGAGAAAAAATATGTTTAAAAAACCCTCTTTATTTTTTAATCCCACTGTTTATGACGACAACGCTAAATATTGGGCGTATATTTTATGTACTGCAGTTTTTTCTCTTATTTATTTATTTTTTAATCCACACCCAAACAAAAGTTGGCAAAGGCCACAACAACTGGGTGCAACATTCGTTTTGTCTGCTCATGGTAATTTTATGCATTTAAAAACACATTTGGAAATTTCAATTTCATTTTAAATGCCAACAAATGTTGGTTGGGTTGGTAATCACTGCCATTCGTCCCGTCCGTCTGTCCAATGCAGAGGAAAAGGGAATTGTTGAGATTTTAAGAAATACAATGACAGCAACTAAAACACAAACAAAACCTAGGCAAAAAAGGGTGTTGTGAACATCTTCAATTGTTTTTTTTTTTTCAAACATAAAACAAGTACCATCATAGGGATTTTCTATGGCTCAGCATTCGTCGTCTCACCAAACCATCATCATTTGCCTGAACTTCTTAAATTACTTCATGGCGGAAATTAGCCTGAGGTGGTCGCTTTTATTGTATTTTTCATTTGTTCTTATTGTTGGGAAAGGCGTCCAGGATGTTTATGATGGTTGGTTGGTCGGGCTAGCTCACTACATAGCCATTCGTCGTCGTCGCCATCCACTCGTTTGTTTGTTTGTTTTGTAATTGCATGTTGACGGAATATTCTTCTTCACACCATCATCATCAGCGGCGAAAGAAGACACACCGAGCACTAACAACTACACTACCCTACGAGTACTTCACTTAATTACTTTTCTGTAAATCGGTTTTCGGATTTGGTTTTCACTTTAATTTTCATGTTAAAGCAATTTGGCAGCTGTTGAAATTTTGAAGAGATGGCATTTAAAACCAACAGGGAATGGAAGAAAAATACTATACTATCAATGCCACACACATACAAATGGGCCTCCGTAGAATATATCAAGAAAAACAAGAAGTGGGAAATTTCCCGTACCGCTACGGGGCAGAATATTTTATTGTGAATTTAGAAGATTTGTAATTGAACAACCTTTTGTGTGGGTTGAATCACTTGTATCATTTCCTCATACACTCACACTTCAATTCAATGCATTCAGTCAGTCAGTCAACCATACCATTCATCCGTTTGTCTAACATTCCTTCCCCTTTCCTGTTTTGAAAATTGAAAGGTAAAGTGCAATGGGGGAATTACAAATATGCAGACAGACAAACTGACGACGACGTTAACATTACGAGGCCATTAATGAAAATTGAAACATGTTTAGCATAATTTAAGAATTTCCAAATAACATTGAAAACCTTTTGTTTGCCAGCTAAACACAGCTGCCAGCTAAATCTAATCGAAATGTTTGACGAAGGGGTGGGAGGGATACCGTTAATGATATTTTAATGTATGGAATGCTAAAAAATTCATGAGATGCATAATTCAGTACAAATGTTACAGTTTTAATTTGTTTAGGTAGTTTTGTTTTTCCAATGGGCATTTTCTCAGAACCCAACGCACTAAGCTATTAAACAGAAGTCCTATAAGAAGTTTAAAGTGGTGTATTTCCTTTTTAACGGATCAAGTCATTATAAGGGTGGATCTTTTGAAGACAAGGTTCTAAGCATTCTTATAGCTATACGCTCAAGTTACCAGGAGAGCTGTGGGCGTGGGTTCTTAATAACATTTTAGAGGACTAATAGATCCGGACATTTTACGAATATTTTTTCGAGGACTATTACTAGGAAGGGTTTGTTAAAGACATTTCAAACGTGGATTTTTAACCCTTTGTGGCCCAATGTTGCCCACAGGCAACAAAATGATTACATAAAATTGGCGTGGATTTATTAAAGAATATTTTTTTCAATTACAGGCGTGGAAGTACTATTACAGGCGTGGATTTATTAAAGAATATTTTTTCAAGGACTATTACAGGCGTGGATTTATTAAAGAATATTTTTTCAAGGACTATTACAGGCGTGGATTTATTAAAGAATATTTTTTCAAGGACTATTACAGGCGTGGATTTATTAAAGAATATTTTTTCAAGGACTATTACAGGCGTGGATTTATTAAAGAATATTTTTTCAAGGACTATTACAGGCGTGGATTTATTAAAGAATATTTTTTCAAGGACTATTACAGGCGTGGATTTATTAAAGAATATTTTTTCAAGGACTATTACAGGCGTGGATTTATTAAAGAATATTTTTTCAAGGACTATTACAGGCGTGGATTTATTAAAGAATATTTTTTCAAGGACTATTACAGGCGTGGATTTATTAAAGAATATTTTTTCAAGGACTATTACAGGCGTGGATTTATTAAAGAATATTTTTTCAAGGACTATTACAGGCGTGGATTTATTAAAGAATATTTTTTCAAGGACTATTACAGGCGTGGATTTATTAAAGAATATTTTTTCAAGGACTATTACAGGCGTGGATTTATTAAAGAATATTTTTTCAAGGACTATTACAGGCGTGGATTTTTTAAAGAATATTTTTTCAAGGACTATTACAGGCGTGGATTTTTAAAGAATATTTTTTCAAGGACTATTACAGGCGTGGATTTTTTAAAGAATATTTTTTCAAGGGCTATTACAGGCATGGATTTTTATTTTTTTAAAGAATATTTTTTCAAGGACTATTACAGGCGTGGATTTATTAAAGAATATTTTTTCAAGGACTATTACAGGCGTGGATTTTTTCAAGGACTATTACAGGCGTGGATTTATTAAAGAATATTTTTTCAAGGACTATTACAGGCGTGGATTTATTAAAGAATATTTTTTCAAGGACTATTACAGGCGTGGATTTATTAAAGAATATTTTTTCAAGGACTATTACAGGCGTGGATTTATTAAAGAATATTTTTTCAAGGACTATTACAGGCGTGGATTTATTAAAGAATATTTTTTCAAGGACTATTACAGGCGTGGATTTATTAAAGAATATTTTTTCAAGGACTATTACAGGCGTGGATTTATTAAAGAATATTTTTTCAAGGACTATTACAGGCGTGGATTTATTAAAGAATATTTTTTCAAGGACTATTACAGGCGTGGATTTATTAAAGAATATTTTTTCAAGGACTATTACAGGCGTGGATTAAAGAATACCTTCAAATGTTTTTATAAAAAAGACTATTACAGGCGTGGATTTATTATTAGAATATTTTTAAAGGTATTTTAACGACCTTTGGATAGAAGACCTTTTTTCAAGGATAATCTGAGCTATAGGCGTGGATTTTTAAAAAATAGTTTTTCAAGGATAATCTGAGATATAGGCATGGATTTTTAAAGAATAGTTTTTCAAGGATAATCTGAGTTATAGGCTTGAATTTTTAAAAAATTGTTTTTCAAGGATAATCTGAGCTAGGCGTGGATTTTTAAAGAATTGTTTTTCAAGGATAATCTGAGATATAGGCGTGGATTTTTAAAAAATAGTTTTTCAAGGATAATCTGAGATATAGGCGTGGAAGGAATATCTACGCCAAATGTGTGGCCTTCCAAGAGTATTTCATGTATGGATTTTTAAAAACAGCCACAGAAATGTTTTTTTATTAAAAAAAAATTATTTGAAAATATGTTTTTCTCTATTGTGATAAATGAATATGTTTCATTTTATTTCTTTGCAGCACCAGTATTAAACAACATCATTCGCAAAACAGAAAGAAAGAAAGTTTAACAACAAAACACTTCCCTGCTTGAACAATATAATATACCCTGCTATATTAAACAACCTAAATAAATACCACTCTAAATAAATAGAAAACCGACCGCACAACAGCAACAAAAATGATAATGTTAATGTTACGAAAATTTTCCGATTTTACACACAAATATAAAGTATTACGTGGCATGCTTGCCTATGGATTGCTATGGCCCTGTGGATCATTGGCCGAGCAAACACTGATAGAGAAACGGACATTCCGCACATATGACTGGAAGAAATGTCTTAAGTAAGTTTAGCTGCGATTCGCATTCATTAATATTACACAAATATAAAAAAACAATCATTCAATTTACAAACGAAAGAATCATCATCCAAAGCCTACATCGACGAATGAACCAACCGTTGATCAACAATAATTAACACCTTAATTAACCATTGGCCCCTTGATGTGCGAGTGAGTGTGTGTGGCATAAGACTCCATCGTATTACACCGGAAACATTCAGTAAACGTGGTGTGCATGCTGGGACCGTCGACCCACAGACAGACAGGCAGGCAAAAATACAGACTGACAACGGCCATCAAGCAATCTACACCCAACATTCAAGTTGAACAAACAATCATTAATTGCACTGACACCCCTGTGTAAACAGTCGACAACAACAAGAAAAACACCAGCAGCAACAAAATTGGCAGTGGGTGGTTTGGGGTCTTACTCACACATCCATCCATTCGTCCATTCATTCATTTATCCATCCCACTCGTATTGAATTTAATGGGCTAGCTTCGATTACTCCGTTTTTATTTTTTCTTCTTCTTCTCTCGCTTCACCTCTCCACCCGCCGCCATCATGTCTTCCTTACATGACAGATTCAGTTTATTCGGCTGTTTCTTCATGGGTCCCACAGTTTATGCATGGATGCGCCTGGCCTCCATTATGTGGCCACGTACTGACATCAAATCATCTTTTTGCAAAGCGATTACAGAGCAAGCCGGATACGATCCAATGGCCATTAGTACATTTCTATTTACGATGAGTCTGATGGAGGGCAAAACATATGAGGAAGCCAAGCATGAGGTAAGTATTTTGTCGTAATTAGATATGAAGTTATATTATGGACATTATTTATATAACATATTGAAAAAGTTTTGAATTGAAAACAAATTACAGTTTTTTTTTTTTTTTTTGGTTTTATGCCTTGGGATTTTTTGATGTTTTTAAGTATAAATGGAGTTGTAGAAGTGTATATTTTTAGAAAGTTTTCAAGAATAATTAGAGATATAGACTTGGATTTTTAAAAAATATTTTTTCAATGATAATTGGATGTGTAGGCTTGGATTTTTAAAGAATATTTTTCCAAGGATAATTTCACGATTTTTATAGAATATTTTTTCAAGGATTATTAGAGGTATAGGCGTGGATTTTTTAAGAATATTTTTCAAGGATAATCTAATGGTTTTTAAAGGAAATTTTTTTCAAGGATAATCTTAGCTATAGGCATGGATTTTTAAAGAATATTTTTTTAATGATAATAGGATGTGTAGGCTTGGATTTTTAAAGAATATTTTCCAAGGATAATTTCACGATTTTTATAGAGTATTTTTTTCAAGGATTTCTAGCGGTATAGGCGTGGATTTTTTACGAATATTTTTCATGGATAATCTAATGGTTTTTAAAGGAATTTTTTTTCAAGGATAATCTGAGCTATAGGCATGGATTTTTAAAAAATATTTTTTAAGAATAATCTAAGGAGTTTTGAAGCCAATCTGAGCCATAGGCGAATTATTAAAGGGATTATTTCAAGGATAATCTTAGGATTTTTAAGCATATTTTACAACGATAATCTGAGTATATTAAAGAGCATATTTTTTAAGAATAATCTAAGAATTTTAAAGGTTATTTTTCAAGGATAATCTGAGCATAGTCCTTAATTATTACGGAACATATTTTCAAGGATAATCTATGATATATTTTTAAAAATATTTTTAAGGATTATCTAAGTTGTATGTGGTTTTTAAGGAAAGTCTTTCAAGGAAAAAATATATCTGAAGAATATTTTTATTTTTTGATATCTGAAGAATATTTATTCAAGGATAATCTGAGCTATAGAAGTAAAGTTTTCAACGGGTATTTTTTCAAGGATAATTACAGTAGCAATATGAGTAATTTTTGAGTATTAATTTATTAAGGCCTATCAGAATAAGAGAAGTTGATATTATGCAGCCTATAGACCATCTGTCCAAGATATTTTAAAGCCTTCTATATGATATGTCAAATATCGATGCAAGCCAAAGGTTCTCTTGGCACCAATTAAATTCACTCTTTTTGATGGCTGTTCCACATCATTCCAATTTATGGCACTTTAATTTATGCGATAACCACCCTTCCATAAAACTAAACATCGTGTTTTAAGTTTGAGTAATTATGATAATCTTATGTATGCAAATCTCCTTGGAGAGAAATCAGTTTTGTGATTTCATTTTTCAGATGAAATCATTACTTGTGTTAAAAACAATTCCTTGAAACCCCAAATTGTATTTTAGAGCCCTCCAAAAACAACAACGCCAACAACACTTTTCATTTACATTTCTCTCTCGTTAAAAAAAGGCTTAAAAATGATTTCATCTACTGTGTCATGCATGGTCGTCATACATTTACGAGATGTCTGTCAGTCAGTCGCCCATGCCAAGCCATTCCGTTTTGTTTGTTCGGTTGGTTGTACTCGAAACTGTGTGGGCATAAATAAATTTAAATGAACTTGTCGTTGTCATATTCCTTAAGTGATTCTCAATACGTAGTACTTTTGTTCAGCCAGGCGGACAGACAAACGAACAAACATTATTGTCTTTATGTCTGTCGGGCAGACTCCTCTGATAATAATTAAGCACAACCATAAAAATTGATGTATGGACGCGGACGAATGCTTTAAAAGGCCCACAAACCGAACAAACATTTTTATGGCATGTTCTCATTCCGCTTGAATATGTCTAGGCTGTTGTTGCTGTTGCTGATGTTGATGTTATTGCTTTTATTGTTGTTTCGTATTTTTGCTTTTTTCTGTTTCAGCTCAAGTATGTAATAACATTTTGAACAATTCCATTGAACATTTTGAACACATTTTTAAACGTTCAACATCCACGTATCCTACATTGAAACGAAGAAGAGTTGGGGAAAAAAACACACCATCACGAACGTTTTAAAAAACATTGCAAATAACAACAATTGACGCAGTACCACAGCTCGGCAGTCAGCATCCAAAAACAAATAGCGTTTTTTGCTCTTCTCCGTTTATTTCTTTGTCCGTCTGTCCATAAAAATGAACACATTACTCGAACAACGTGCATTTTTCATTACAGTTTGTATCGTCATTCTCATAACAAGGCATGCACGCACGCACTGGCTTCTCGTGGCTTTATGGATATGGGTGGATCGATGTTTAGGCATGATTTCGAAAATCGATATTTGTTAGGGGAAATCAGCCGATTTTCACCTACAGAAACTTTGTGTAGAAGGGAGGGAGAGAGAAAGCCAGGATATCTGGATATCTATACAGGAAAGAGCTTATTCTATATAGAAAATTCATTATATACTTTCTACAGGATTAGACCCGCTATAGACATTCTTTATCTTGGAGGTGATCCACATAATGATTGTATAATATTGGATAATTTTTAGAATGTTTTTTCGAGGACAGTCCGATCAAAAATGTACAAGGGCATTCGAATCCACAGACTTGTATTTTTTACAGTAAAGGTAGTATATATATTTCGTTAATATATATGGTTTGCTGTAGATCTCTTAAAGGCTATCTTTGATCCATCGTCCATTGTTTATTATGGAAACACCCATATCAATTTAGTTTTGTATTGTTTTGTTGGTAGTAGTATTCCCCAAAGTCATTGTGTTATTGCGGGCATCAACATCATTATGGCCAACGTAAATGGCCAGGGTGAATAGGGGCCAGAATGAGCCGCAATAGCGTTGTGACAACAATATTATCGTTGTGAACATCATCAGCAATGGCAACAGCAGCAGCAACAACAACAAATGAAAAATTTAACCATAGCCTCACCAATAAAAGCCCATAGGACTATGACTATCACAGTTGGAGTGCAAGCAATTGAATGAATATACAATGCAATTGTAGGCTCTCGGGGAATAGGGAGATTCACATGGGATGATCGCATAAAAAAATTGCAAACAATTTGTTAGGACCTACACTCTGACATTGACGGGAAATCGCAAAACAGAACTTTTATAGGCTGAAATTTTGTAGTATCGTCCAATGTGATCTCCCCTTCCGAAAACCATTACAGCTCGTGGTCAAATTTATGTTAACTACCGCTATGTCTGTATATATGATGGCCTATACGCTCTAACCAATTTAAACAGACCAAGCACACTCGTTCACATCCAGTCAATCCGCCACTGAGTCCATCATTAACCAAACAATCAACAATTGGAACCTGCTTTAGAGGTATCCACTTAAGCACATCGTTTCTGTGGTTGTTAGTTGATGGTGAAATTGACGAGGGTGGTATGAACAAAAATGTATACAGATAATATATAAATATATTTAACATTTCATAATTATCACAACTATTTTCCTACATCGTTCTGCTTTACCTCTATTTGCGCTCATTTTTCCTCCCTCCCTTTTTTGACAAAAACAAATGCACTCCTCTCAAGAAAAAGACAAAGCACCTTTCATTGCAGGACTATGTTTTGTTTTGGTATCGTTTTCCGTCGACTATAACTAGTTTTGCATTCCATTGTTTCTTACCGACCCCTGCATAGGTGTTACAAAATTCGCATATGTATTTTCCAAATGATTTCGATATAAACAGTATATCAAACAAGTGTTGATACGATACGAATGTTCTAATGACGCAGGACATGAACATGTAAGTAAATAAAAAGAGACGAGAAAAGACATAACGAGAAGAATAAAAGATTAAATCGAAATAGAAAAATTAAAACGACAAAGAATTTCAGTGCCATAAAAATTGGCCACCATAAACACACCGACTCCAAAGTTTTTTTTACTCTCTCCGACAAGAAACCAGTTTTATGAATGTTTTATGAATTTCATTCATAAAGTGCAGAAATCCCAATTGGGGAAAAAGAAATCCATTATTTTTATATGAACTATAGGACTTTATTTAACAAGCTTCGGAATGTCCGATTTGGGCCAAATATGCACCGTTTTGTTGGATGACTTCTTGCCATTTTAAATGTAACTTCATAATGCCTCTCTCATAGAAGTCCTGCTCTCTATTTGCAATCCTCCCTGGATACCAATTTTTTATAATTAAAAAAAAATTGCAATGCAAGAAAAAGATGATAATCGCTTGGTTCCAAGTCCTGGTTCCCGAAGAGTCTGGCGAGTCACTGTAGATGTGTGTGGCCTTGCGTTATCCTGATGGAACACGACACCTCTCCTGTTGGCCAATTCTGGCCGTTTCTGGTCAATTGCTATTTTCAAACGTTCCAGTTTTTGACAGTTGAGATCAGAATTTAGCGTTCGACCATATAGACGCAACTCTTAATAAATAATCCCATTCCAGTCCCACCAAATGCATAGCAAAACCTTCCTGGCCGTTAGTCCTAGTTTGGCAATCGTTAGATGTGCTTTACCGCTCTTTGAAGGCGATCGTTTTTGCACAGGGTGATCGTATGTGATCCATTTCTCATCTCGAGTCAACGTCTGTTTAAGAAATGGTTCTGCCTCATTCCGTTTGGGCAAGGCTTCGCAGATGGAAATTCGATCCATCCTATTTTTTCTGTTAATTGGTGTGGCGCCCAAAAAATCGAGCTTCTTTTTGGGGCGCATTTGTATGAATGTTTTAAAACAGTTTATGGTCGATTTTTAGCTCCTGGGCGATGTTACGACTGCTAACATGCTGGTTAAATGCGATCATTTCTCCGATTTTGTCGACATTTTCTTTTTCTACAATCTAATAATATACGATTTAGTAGTGGTGTATCTGTAGAACTGTCCCCAAAAAACTAATCTCTCTATAGGAGTAGTTGTGAAGATCTATAGAATCATATAAATATGACCTGTAGAAGTTATTTTGTTTATAGCAGAACTTTAGAAGACCTTTGTCTGACGAAGATATGTCTGAAGAACGTCCTCTGCCTACAGTATGACTACTGAAATTCAGCAAAGGAGATTTTGTCTATAGAAAACCAAGTTGTCTTCTCTCGATAGATGACCTATAGATTATATTATATCTATAGAAGAACTGTATAAGGCCTTCTGTCTACTGAAGACCTTCATAAAGTCTTCCATTCTATAGAAAACCTATTACAAGCTTACATCTCCTAAAGATGATGAAGAACATTACAAAGTCTTCTGTCTATAGCAGAACACCAAAAATGAAGTTGCACTTGTAGCAGTACTGGTAGAATGACTTTAGCTGTAGAAGTCAAATTCCCCCACTCATCCTCGTAACTGCGACATTCTACTTCACATAGTGTAGATATATACGTTTGCATGTAACTGACAAAGTACAATTCAATGATGGTATATCCCCATACTTGACACGTCAATTGTGTCTTTGTCGTCATCATCCTCACCGTCATCATCTTGAACGTTATAGGCCGTCATGTATTGTGTCTGTCTGGCTGAACATACCGACGCACAGACACACAACAATAATGGCTTGACGGTAGAGTATTGCCAATGCTGACGATGGCGGTGATGATGATGTCGTTGAAGTAGGTAAATGGGGAATATATGTATGAATGTGAATGTCGATGATGAATAGTTTTTTTTTTTTTTTTTTTTTTTTTGTCGTGTTCGGCTTCGCTTCATTCATTTTACGTAGATAACAACATTCAACGTTGTTAAGTAGCATTTTGTTGAGGTAAAAAAATTGGAATCGTGATGGGTGCTTGGTGATGTTTGTTGACGCCGTTTGCAATTTAAATTGGAGCATCTTAATGTCGTCTAAAAATTCACAGGGTATTAGGATCGTGGAAGGAAGAGGTTTGAGAGGTGCCTTGATTTAGAAAATAAATAATAAAGGACTCCGAACATTTTAAAAGCAAATTACCACCACTACCCGTTATGTTTAATATTTGTTCTAAACCTACAATTGTTGTTCTTCTGTTTTAGAGATATAGGTAGGGTAAACTCTGTTACTTTTATTAATTACACACTTGTTTTTTCTTTATTGCCGTTTGTCTGCAACCGGTCATAAATTGTTGTGCCCCACAGTTGAATGGCTTATTGAAGAATTATTTCTCCCCTTGGTGTAGTTTGTAATTTTTTGAACATTAATTAATGATAATGCAAAACAATTAATTAGACCCCACCTCTGGTTTCACCGCGACAACTTCGTTCAGGGCGATAAGCAAATGAATTGAAAAAAAAAAAAACATAAAATATGTATAATGTTTAAAACTTGAATACTGTAGCCGATAAATTGAACACTATTGATATATGAGTATACAGAAACAAATAATAGGATAGGTTGTTTAAAAGCTTATTAATTTATGGGAAAATTTTATAAAAAAGTGGCTACAATATGTATACATACATATATTAGGCTGTGATGGCATCTGATTAAACCAAAGAAGAACAAGTGACAATTTTAAAGGGACCGAATAGCTTCAATGTAAAGGAGGGACAAAATGATGAAGATGATAAACAGGAGGTGTTTTCATAATTTCCTCAATATTATTGAACCGTTAATTTGTAAGATTTGTTCAGAATTTTACTTAGATTTTCCTAACTAACTTAGGTTGCAGGTTAATCTAAGTATAAGGAAAAAAGGTTCAAAATAAAAATTCTTTTTTCCTAGCATCAATTATAATAAAAGATCAGGTATATTTCAGATTGATTGCCTTGCCTAAACAAAAAAAAAAAAAACAACGGCCAAACCGAAAATCTCTATTAATATGCCTTAAACACGAATTCGGAGACCGCTTTACTTCCCTATTGATATGGTGATCGAGGAATACGGTATACAAGATAAAGTCCTCTCCAAGACTTGGACTATTTTTCGCATGATATTATAAAATAAATGTTTGCCCAATTTTGGGGGAGTTGGTACCCGAAGAAGTGGAAAAATGGATCTCGTCTTCGGACTTATATATGAAATTGGTAGATATAATAGGTGGTGCAAATTTTGTTTCAAAGGGGGCATTTTCGATAGTCCGTTCGCATGATATAAAATAAATTTTTGCACAATTTTGTGGGGAGATACCAGAAGGAGTGGACCGATATTTCCCATCTTCGAACTTGAACTATGTTTGAAAGATAGATTGATATGTGCAAAGTTTGGATGAAATCGATTATTTCTTCGAATGTTATCGTGCGCATCAGCCGGCCAGACAGACATTTGTAAATCGACTCCAAATTTGGTCGGATTGGGTCTAAACCAATATTTTGATGAGGCACATTTTTACCGCATCAAAGTGTAAATACCCTCATTTGTCACAAGGCTGAGGGTTTAAAAACTTTCGCCCGAAAGCTGTTAGTTCCGAAGTCTTAGATAATGGTAGTCACCATTCGGAAATACTACGGCGATGGAGCACATCATCATTTCTGTTAAAAAAATGTTCTCTGTATTATCACAGATATCTCTGCAGGTATGATGAACCTATAAAATGGTCGTTGGTTCGAACTTTTAACCAAAATGCTACTAATCACTTGGTCGCAATTGCCAGTCAGAATATTTAACTTGCCATTCAGTTATAGAGAATACTCTTCCTTGGACTGTTTTAGGTAAAAACGTTCCCCCATAAAATTTATGGATAGAAAATCTTCTATACGAATTCTATAGACCGAATACCTTCTATTATTCTATTTATGTCACTTCATAGATCTTGTACGTGGATTCATATAGACAGAATAACGTCAAAATAACTTTAATAGTCGGTAAACTTTCTATTGATGTTCTTCAATATGGTTTCTATAGGGATTTTTAGGTAAAAACTTCTTCCAATTAATTTATGGACGGAAATTATTCTATAGTAATTCTATATACTTGCTAATTTCAATTATTTTTTATGTAGGATTTTTTAAATATTACTGTTATATCAAAGGGATATGTATGGCATTTTATGTTGCTGGACCCCTTCTCTAGATACTTGAGAAGGGGTCCAGATTGATATTCCTATAGGCATTCTTTAAACCCATTTAAATATAAATAACAAACATAATAAACTAATGAATTCATTTCTCTCTCCCTCCTTAGGTCGCTACAAAATTCCTAGATGCCTACCGAGTCGGTGTCATCTATTGGCCATGTGTTCAAACCGTTAATTTTGCATTGATTCCCGTTCAAAATCAGGTGGTATTTACATCGTTCTTCAGCATGTGTTGGACAACATTTTTGGCTTATGTCAAATATATGGAATTGCCCAATGTCGATGTGGATCATCATATGGAATTTCATTTGGATTTTCATATTTTGGATTTTCATGTACATTTCTAAGGGCAATACAGAGACAATTAATTTTACGAAGATAATGGCAGCAGAGGCAATAATTTTTATTATTTATTAAAATGCGATTTAATAAAGTGTGTATTTTCAGCTAATACTAATAAAATAAATTAAATAAAATTTACTAAAAATGACCAAAAATATATGTATTTGATGTTAAAGGGTTAAATGTAAGGTAAAGAAAAATCTACTTTTACATAACTACACAGTCATATCCTTAGGTACGTCCAGAAGTTTTTCTTTTTTTCCTTTTCCATTTAACCATCTAGTTAGTTCCCTCTCTGTCCCTCTTTCGCATTAATTTTCTTCTCCCTCATTCTCTTTCAAATTGACCTCAATTACATTCAGAGCAACAAACAACCCAACGTTTATCGTGTACATCAAATGGTTATCACCACCAACCGACCGACCAATAAACGGAGCAAACAACCAGCCATCCAGCCATTCAGCACGAAAGCAAATTAAATTCGAATAATTGAAAAAAGTGGATTTCATTAAAATTCTTTAATTACTTCCGGCTAAACGATTAGAGCATTTCCTTTACACCAAACAGGCTACCATATACAGACGTGAGTAATCATGAATTTGCGTGCCATTAAATGTGTGTAAATATAATTAAACTTTTACTCTGCTAAATGTAATATAATTTTCATGTCAAATTACCCATTTTAAATTGAGTTTGATGATGATAGGTGGCAGCTGTTTTCAATTTTTCCTTTCTGATATAAAGTTTTATAAATTTTGATTAACGTATTTTTAAAAAATACCCTAAGAGTCAAATGCGGGAAAGGGGTTAGGACAAAGTAAACTGACTAAAAACGGACACATGGTATTTTTCCGATATAATATTTGAAGATAGATGAGGTCATAACTGTATTATTATGGGAAATTGAGAAAGTAAACTTATTAAAAATCTAATATATATATTGAACTGATAAACTTCTGGGTATTCTACATAGAGTGCAATAAGGTCTTTCCGAATCAAAGGTCTGTTAGTGCCAGTTTTGCTCAGCAAAAAAAAAACACTTGTTTGACATCTTGTATTTAGGATTTATATCGAAATAATTTGGAAAATAAATATGCGAATTTTGTAACAGTGTTTGACTTGTACCAGTGTCTGACAGAATGGAACAATGGATGCAAAACTAGTCACAGTCGAATGAGTGGAAAAACGGTTGGAAAAACAACAACCACCATGTAAGGGGAGAGACGGAGAAAAAAGGGCAGAACACAGGCGAACAATGAATGGTGGTTGTGTTGTTTTTTCTAGGAGGTAATACAAAAACAAGTTATCCAAAGAGAGAGAGAGAACAAATTAGCGCAAATGGTGGTAAAGTAAAGAAGGAAATGGTTGTGATATTAATGAAATGTTTACATCTTTTTTTTTTTGAAAAGAAATTGTAAGAATTTTTACTTATATTCGAAACGAGATACACGTACAATATGGAAAAATTACTTTTGATAAATTATGAAAATATTCATTATTCTTTTTTCTGTACAGAATTACAATTTATTCGGTTTACCTACTCCGCATTTTTATATATTGAAGAATTTTTACTATTTACAAATCATCAGGAAGGTTGGCAGTCTGACAAGATCACCAGATAATCCTCCTAGTTTATGTGATCTGTAGAAAATACTATACCTAAATTACGAAATCAATTAATATTCTTAAACTATATCTTGCGGATATTTTATATATGTTCCTGAATCATATAAAAGACTTCTTGGAAATATTCTGTACATCAGAGAATGTAATTTTTAGAAATCATGCCGTGGGTATATTTTCCTATGTCCTTTAGGTCGAATTCTATATATTATTGTTGGGGTATTTTTATTTAAGGGAACCCCCCATTCTCGATTTTATATTTTCAAGTTTTTCAATGGGCTGGTAAATGAATACCAATGCATGTTAAGGTTTGTAACTGTACACATAAATAGTTGAAGAGAAGAAAAATAATTTACAAAATGTTGTTGTCGCTCAATTATCAACAAAATGGCGGACCTTTAAAAAAGTATTTTTTGAAAAATCGCCTATTTTTACCTCAAACCAAGTTAAAAAATAAGGAAGATCTCGACCGATTGGATTTATCCTAGTTCATACGATAACTATACACTCACAGAGAAACGTCTTAAAATTTGTAATCGATCGGATTATTAGTTTTTGAGTTATCGTGCCCGCCATTCGTAAAACACTGCTTCGAGAAAAATGCGTTTAAAGTTTGAGAATCACTCTTGCCGTCACTTGATGCTGACACAATAAATCGACTATATCTTGAAGAGTTCTTGAGATTTTCATTTGAAATTTTGTAGGAACGTTCTTGAATTAGTGTAGATTCGAAAAACTAAATAAAATTTTTTGACTCCGAGAATGTGGGGTCCCCTTAATGAAAAAATCGTTTATCATCTGTCTATAAAAGACCTAAGTGAATTTTCCACATTTAGAGAACCCATTTACGTGCACCCTGGATCTATACTTAGCCAATAAATTCAGCCTGTGTTTCATCATCCATTAAATAGCGGACTAAGGTTTCTTCGCATGAGACTGCTTTCATTAAGTTTACTATGGTAGAAGTCCCACTTAGAAGCATTTCTATGACCTTTATTTATTTATTTATTTATTTTTTTTTTTTTTTTGAATTTTTTAGCAATTTATTGCAGTGCCATTAAGCCATATATTTAAGTTAATACATTCAAAATAATATCATATAGTAATTTATTATTAAAATTTCTCTAATCACCATTACCCTGCTGCTATTCCCATATTTGTAGATTTTAATTGCAAATATTTGTGTTCATAAAATTTATAATTTATTATTCTGTGTGTGTGTGCATTAATGACCCCGTCGCCCATTGCCGTATGTCTTAATTGTTTGGACTTTTATCACACAAACGAGATAAAATGGAAACTAATTAAGGCGCTTACGAACGTATATATGTGTGTGTGCGCGCGTTCAAATGAAAAAAGGAAATTTTTATGAGCAATTGCTTAAACCACAAACTTTGTAATATTGTAGTGCCATGTCATAGCAATGGAGGAGACCTGCTGCTGAACGCCAAAAACAATTCGAAATGTAACAGCCAAAACAATTCAAGTGATTAAGGGGGTAATTATGGACACGCTCTGGCACCAACGCCACCAACACCGACAACGACTGCCATTACCACAGAAATTAATCACCAGCCAAGATTAATTTCAGTGGTTGCGGAAATTGGACGCCATGAATTTTAGTGACTGATAGAAGAAGAATAAGCATTACTATATAGAGCAAAGTGAAGCTAATGACTATAAAGGAAATATTTTCGTTGAAAACGAACCTTTGTTTATTTAAAGATTTTCGTTTTAAAATATTAAATGGGATTATTTTGAAAAAATAAATAATCCACAATTAAAATGGGAAAACGAATGTGAATGCACCCCACTTTCCATGATAAACATCAATGGATGTGTTGTTAAATTTTCCTCTTCCTACAAAATAAGCAGGTGGTGGTTATATATGTGTGTGTGTGCCGCAGATTATCATGGGTATTAGCATTTGTCGTATTTGTCCAACAGTTTTCGTTATTACTATTATTTTGTAGACACAATAGCTGAGATAAGAAACAACAACAATAACCACACAAAATGAAATGAAAGAAAATCCACGACAAAACCCAAACGAGAAAAAGCCGAACTAATCAATGCATTAAACTATTTTGACACGTCCCAAAAACTAAGCCACCATCATCGTCATCAGCAGCAGCAACAACAACAGCACCAATAATAAAAACGAACCAAAAAAGGGGTGAATCCAAAACGATTTCTTATCACAGAAATAAAAACAACGCCAGGCATATAAAATCAATTCCATGGCGGCAAATGTTCACAATAAAACTAGAATTTTATCTTCAAAGGCTACAGGCATTCGCCTGGCCATCATAGTCCCCTGCCTGGCTTAGCTGCACATAGCAATAAATTAATTTTCATCTTGCTCTGTTCTGTCTCTAATTAGTTAGCAACCCCAAATGACGACAGCCAGAATATCAACGAATGTGCCAAGTCATAGCCCTCAATGAATTAACGAATTCCACGGGGGGAAATATACAATCTCATTTATCATCATCAAGTGAAAAATGCTGATCAAATAAAACGCACACGCACAGACGTGCTCACATAGTCGTCACATGAAGTTTGTATCCTTATTGTTGTTTTTTTAGTTTAATCAAGAAAATCTCTAAACTTGTATATTTAAATAAAATATGAAATTAAAAAAAAAAAAACTCTTTCAGATTATTAGATTAATGAAAAAAAAAATATTTATATAAACACACCCATTTTTGTAGTACTTAAAAAAAATTTTAGGTTGGGAAAAATAAATCCATTATTTCTTCAACAGACAGGCTGTACTGACATATTTCTCGTAAGGTATCGATCAAGCAATTTCAGATTTATGCTCCTAGGAAGGGTGAAATCATTTTGCTGTTGCAGTTGAGAGTTACAGGCTGTTAAAAATTGAAGTGAACAAAGAAAAAATTCGGTACATTTTACAATTTTTCTTTGATAAAGGCTAAAATGCAAGTCGATACTGTAACAGCCAATTATGTGCAATATCGGTTTCGTAGATTCCGTTCAGAAATTTTTGATGTTAAAGATGCTCCCACAGGTAGGCCGGTCGTCAAAAATGTCGATAAAACCAGAGAAATGAAAGAAGTTGACCGACAGAAGCTAAAAATCGACCATAAACCCGTTTTAAACCATTTACAATTAACCAGATACGGCCAGAATTGGCCAACAGGAGAGATGACGTGTTCCACCAGGACAACGCTAGGTCACACACATCTACAGTGACTCGCCAGAAACTTCGGGAGCATGGTCGGGAAGTTTTAATGCATCCGCCTTGGACTTGGCACCAACTTATTATATTTTTCTTGCATTACAAAATTTGCAAATAGAGAGCAGGACTTCTATGAGAGAGGCATTATGAAGTTACCTTTAAAATGGCAACAAATCATA